TATTTCATGTCATATGTATTTAATATATCAATACATATAAGTATTAGCAAAGCTTAACATCATGAACCATGACAGACATGACTGAAGAGCAGATGAAGACATCATGCCAGGCACTGATGAGAAAATATTACAAGGATCTCACAGCTGAATTTGAGAATGAGATGCTACACCTGAGAACAATATATGGTGCCACATTTCCACACATTCGGTCTCCTCTTGAGCTGCTTAATGCCATACAGGATGCAATTACAGAGCATTTTTGGAGAAGTTTGTATTGGACTGAGGATTTTTTGCACACTGCCTGTGACTGTTGCTGGGGGTGAACGGGCTTTTAGCAAACTGAAACTGGTGAAAAATTATTTGAGATCAACAATGTCCCAGGATAGACTGAACAGCCTAGCTCTTCTTCCTATTGAAAGCCAATTAGCCAAAGGATTGGACTTTAAAGATCTCATAAGTGATTTTGCTAACATGAAGACCTGTCAGTGGGCATTTACAGGAAAATAAATTCCAGGATTTTTGTTTGAACACATTGTTGGCAAATAAAAATAATTATATGTGAAGTCTTGGCATTTCACTTTTATTATGCTGGCATTTGTATTTGCTCAATATAGAGGTTAAACTAAGATCATATTTATTATCTTGTCTTATAGCATGACAAAAAATGTGTCAGAGAGATATTAAGTAATTGAGCATGGGGGCCCACCTAGAAGACTTGTACCTAGGGCCCAGAATTTGGTGCTACGCCCCTGCTTATGAGAGCATCATGTGAGCACCCATGTGTGTACACGCACTTGTACATATAAGGTTTCTCTATAGGTGCGTCCAATAGAGAGTGGCCACAGATCTGCCCCCAAATTTGCACAGGAGATGGAGGGAGCTCCAAGTCCCAAAGATCCAGGAGCTGCCCCAGAGCACAGGGACCCCAGGGAGACTGCAACCAGAAAAGCCCCAACCCCCTCTCGAGAGGTGCAGAGGATTTTCCCGGGGGGGGGGGGGGGGGGGGGGGGTCACAACCAGCAGCCGGCAGAGTCCCGGTAGATATCAACGGCAAGCCCACAAGCCCGCCTGTAACAAGAAATTCAAACTTCAGTTTAACATCAACACCCTAATGTTCGAGAGAAAAATGCAATCATCCTCCAGGAGAAAATTACACCAACTCACATTTCTTTTCACTTCCAGTCTCACTTCTCAGAGTTAGACCCACTGAGGGGAGGAGCTATGTCGGTGACAAGACCACTGTGTCTTTCAAAATAAAAGCTTGCAACTGAAATATTGCAAATTCAAAAATTTTCACCCCCTACACACACACACACACACACACACACACACACACACACACACACACACACACACACACACACACACACACACACACACACACACACACACACACACACACACACACACACACACACACACACACCTCCCAGTACCTACGCCCTTACTGTGAAGTATCTTAGCTGTTCCTAGAACTACACTTTTCTGGACTGAGATATCTGATATTTTTTCTGGGATCTGCTTTAGCCACTCCTCCAGTATGGGGGGTTCTTCTTTGAGGCCCTGGTACTTCTCTAGTTTCTCATGTTCCTTTTTCCTGATGTTGCTATCACTCGGTATTGCCACATCAACCACAACAGCTGTTGTCTGTTTTTTGTCCACCACCACAATGTCCAGTTAGCTCGCCATAACCTTTTTGACGATCTGGATCTGGAAGTCCCAGAGGAGCTTGGTTCTATCGGTCTCAACCATCTTCAGGGGTGTTGCTCACTTTCACCTTTAGGCTTCCAGTCCTCTGCACAGATATTGTTGTGCACTATGGCCGCCACTTGGTTGTGGCGTTCCATGTAAGATTTCCCTGCCAGCATCCTGCTGGTGGTCGGAGGGACTGGTGGCGCCAATGCTCGGCAGGTCCCGCCTCTTTTAGTGCACCCCAGGGCAGTTGTGGCTACATTGTAACTCATCCTCACCATGGTGTGAATGGGTGAATGACTGTGTTGTGAAGTGCCTTGGGGGGTTGTAGAACCTTAAGAAGGTGCTGTATAAATACTGGCCATTTACCATATGTATAAATATGAATAGGGCTTTATTAAGCATGCTTAGATGTGACTTAATTTCTCATAAAATGTGTGAGGATTCATTTAGTGTTGGGGTTTTATTGTGTTGGTTCTGTGCTCTGTCTAAAACATCATTTAACTATGTTTTCCTCAAACAAAAGGCTTTGTTTTGGTGAGAAGTTGTTCTACTATTTCCCACAAAGATATCAAGTCACAGGTCGTACTGAAGAACAAGAAACAAATCAAGTGCAGATCTGACAGAAAAAAGTTTTTCAAAAGCAAAAGTTCTGAAATGTTCCTGTTGAAATAGATTCTTCAGATTTCACTGAGATCAGAGCGCACTACTCATTTTAGATAGAAAGATGAGTTAATAGAAACTGCACAAATGTAAAGCTTCCTAATGAGACGACCCAGTTTGAAGTTAGTTGCTGAGATGTTACATCATGATGCTTATCTATCAGCAGTCGGAGAAAGCAGACTGATAAGCTGCTGATAAAGATGCACTGATGAAATGTCTTGTTGAACTTTTCATGAACACCCAGAAAATTCAAAAATGAACTTTGATTTCTGCCTGAACATAACAAATGACCATAAAACCTTTATGGACAGATAATGTGCGCACCTTATGCTTTGTCTTTCATAGACTTTAATAACTCATAGTCTCGAACCTCTGACAGTTTAATTCTTTGTACAATTAGAATACGTTTACTTTAAAAAATGACTCAACCGTGTGTGGATTGTGGCCTTCTGATAGAAAGATATACATGACTCACTCTGTTGACAGATAAACAGATTCATTTCTTCAGTCACACAGGAACTTATGATGATGTCAAGCATCACAGAAATGATTAACTAGGCAGTGTTAGTTGGGCATTTGAAATCCTCACCTTTACGACGCCATACAGTTCCAAAAACAGTGAATTCATCTCATCACTCCAGAGTGTAGAGTCCCAGTAGTCAAGTCATGTCAAGTAAAGTCAACTTTATTTATATAGCACTTTACACAGCATAAAATCTGGCCAAAGTGCTTAACAAGCCAAAACGAACAGATGTTTCCTAAAATGCTAAAGGTAAGATAAAAGTTCATCAAAAAGTAAAAACATGATAAAAACAAACATATCAAAATGACATAAAAGCTACTATAAACAGATGAATTCTCAAACTGAATCAAAAGCAACTGAGAACAGACGAGTCTTTAAAAGTGAATAACAACCTGACAGTGAAGAAACCATCCTAATCTGGACTGGGATGTCATGTGCTGGGGTGAATGCTCCTCTCATTTTTGTTCCATCTTTGAGCTGCTGTGTTTCAGGAGAGGGAGGCTCCAGCTGCAGCTCATTAACAATCAGTGGGTCCAGCTATAAGAGGAGGAGAACACATCTCGACGCCGGATGATTAACCACAACTTGGTAGTTACAGCCCTTTGTGTCTCCAGGTTAACTCTAGTGATTTTTGGATTTTAGAACCCTTGTGGATATACTTGTGCTTACCTGCTCCCAGGATTTTTGGATCATTTGTGGACCTTGCCTTGACTCCTCAGGATCTCCTTGGACTTCTGAAGCTTCTGGAGCTTCTCTGGTTTTCCTGTGGCTCCTCTGACTACTTGGACATTTCCACGATCCCGCTGGATAACTCACCTGTGCCCCATAAATCTCCTGGACGCAGCATTCACCTTTCTCCTCTCCTATCTGCCGGCCCGCTTTCCTGCTCTCCTCGCACCCCCTCTCCTGGACACCCCCTCTTGGATTCACCCCGGCACTCCACCTCCCCTCCCCTATTCCTCAGACCCAGCTTCCCGGAAGTCTCTACTCTGCACCTTCCTAGTTTAGACTTACCTCCCTGGACTCACCTGTTTCTCTGCTCTCCCCTCCTCAGACGCTGCGGTTCCGTTGCAATCCCCATTGGACCTTATCCAGTGCGCTCTCAGTTCCCGATTTATTAAATAAAATTCTTTAATTTTTCTAATTGACTCGTGAGTGGTGAATTCTGCATGTCTTGGGTTAAACTCGTCCCCAAAATCATGTCATGGGAGTGCATTCCACAACCTTGGAGCTGCTACAGAGAAAGGTCTATAACCCCCGAGCTTTCTCTTTGTTCTAGGCACTTCCAGGAGAAACTGGAGCCGCCTCATCATTGGTCAGGTTTGGACCGAGGCAACGTGAGGGGGAGGTTTGAAACCACAAAGGTGGAGGTTAAAAGTAGAGGGTATCTGTAACCTCCCCCTCGCCACATGGTATGTTCTAATGTTCCCCTTGGGCGGCAAATACGGCAAATCACAGTCAGAATGCATGGGAAACAAACGCTTAATGACAGTGAGAGTAACGTTTTAGGTAGCAAGAGGGTTAAGGTTAGGATGAGGGTGAGGGGAAGGTCATAAATAGTAAAACGTTAAGGTTTAGGTGCGGTCAAATGAGCTGGTTCGGTGCCACATCAGTGGATATCCCATCGCATCAGTTTTACGCTGCAGTCAGAAAAGGGAAAAACCCCTTTTCGCACATAAGTGACGAAAAAGGGCACTTATGGCGTCAGGGGTCTGACGCGGAGGGTGGCTGACTAAGCGTTTGTTTTTGGAGTGGGAATATGTTGTTTTAGTTACAGTGAATGGACAAGCTGAAAGCTTTGAAGGAGCTAAAAATGATCTTGAAAATGATAAAAACTTTATTAGATGCTTTAGCTAACATTTGCAACTTTATCTTTTAACAATTTGAGATTGTTTTTCATCTTAATTTACTTCACTTTACAGTTAATAAACATGGTAGAACATAAATGTGTATTACATTGTGTTGTTGTCTAAGACTACCAGCAAAACAAATCCAAGTGAAGTATCACATAATTATAAGACTGCTCAGTTTGTTTTGGCAGATACAGACTGTGCTGTTATTATTTACCCTTTTAAATTTTAATTTAAAGGGGATCTTACTCAAAAAGGATTTGATGCCAGAGTCAAAAGCCTCCTGACAACAGAAAAACCAGGTAGGTTTTGAATAGCATGTATTCAAAATTATATGTATAGCAGTTTATGTTGTTAGATGTGCCTATTGAATTTATAGATACAATATTTGTTTTTTAGAAAGAACTGATTAAATATGTCAGATGGTAGTGTAGTGTAATGGTTTATGCTCTTTTATGAAAGATGAACCATCCTACATATTAATTCGGAATATTAATTTTTAATAAATTAATATCCACATTTTATAGGGTTAAGAAGACTCAAAGGTTGTTTTCATCGATAAACTGACGATAATATCCGTGGGTCTGTGTTTCAGTTCAATGAAGAGCCAAGTTTGAAAGTTAAAAGTTTTAATTCTTCAAATTAAACTAATGATTTTGAAATGACAAGCATAGGAAATAACAATCAACATTGGCAACTTTGTTGGACAATCTTTAACAGTTGATATTTTAAACTTGCTTAAATAGACCTTGGGTTGAATGTGTGAAGACTGAGAATGATGTAATATGGATGCGTGTGTGCGTCTGAATTTGCTTCAGGGGGAGAAAAGGTGTCTGAGTGAAAACGATGGTTTGAATTAAACTTAGTTCTTATTAGAAAAGATGCATCAAACGCTATCTATTGTGTTCTGCCTCACCGTAAGAGGACCCTTGTTCAGATCCGGACCTCAGGAGGATGTTTATCCAGGTCACACCTTGGCTGGCAGAGGAGACGAAGGTGTGCGACGATCCGGTCCAGAGATGCCCCCCGGTACACGTTGTTGGAGCGTTTGCAGTTGCGCTTTCTTAAGTTTAAATTACTCAGAAAATCAAAGACTCTGAACGAGTCTGCGTTAGCGGTTGCAATTCAGCTATCCTGTCTGGCTTGACAGGAATAGCGGGGGGGGGGGGGGAGCCGGTGGGGCTCTGTTCCCCCGTTAGCGTTTTTCACACGTCCTCTCTCTTTCGTTGTCAAACACGAACTGAATGACTTACCAAAAACCCAGTTCTCTTCCCAAAGCAACGTGTGCATCAGAGCCAATGTGTTTTGGAGTTTACTGTGAGTGTGTGTGTGTGAAGGTCATTATAACATCTTCAAACATTATTTAATTAAGCATTGATTCATTATAGTTCATTATGATTACCCAAAGCATAATAATCATTCATTTTATTAAAACATATTTATACTGAGTAAAATGGTAAAATGATTATTTAGCATTAATAAACAAAGGAAGCGTAAGACTCTTTTATTATGACTAGCTTTCATGAGAACTCCTTCTGCATGGAAGCTGCAGGTGTGGGATGTTGTGGTTTCTGTTGAATCTTGCAGACTTCATGTCGGCAAAGGTCTTAATCTGTGGGTGAAAGTTCTGAGCGACCCAGCTCTGACCCAGCCGGACCAAATACAACCTTTGGCACAGAAAACCCATATTTCTTCACGTTACAGTAGTAAAACTTTAGAAACCATGTTTTACATCATTGCTCTATTTATGTGTCAGATGACAGAACCTCAACACGTGCCAAGGAATTACTCAGTAAGAACGAAAAAAATATCTTTCCAGTTGCAATAAAGAAATCACAATGGATAACAACTTTCAGCTTTACCCTCAGGTGCAACAGAGGTTTTTGGGAGAGCCAAAAATCCAGTGCAGCCAAAAATCAAGAAAGTTGACTGGAAAATGTTTGGGCAAAGGCTAACCGATTAGTTTAAAGTGAAACGAATTGTCTGAATATCAGTGATAAAGAAATGTAGATTTCTATATGTAATGTCCAGAAATGGTCAGTTTTCACCTGCATATTGATCTACATGCCACCCGTCATCTACATATCTAATTCTATCCTCTAAGGTGGATTTTACATTCTATCTTCCAACAAGCCACAAGATTCTGCAAACCTTGTTGACATTTCAGGGGGAAGGAGATGTCAGTGTGTGTTCCCAAACAAAGCCTTCTTTTGAAAAGACCGCAGGATTGTTCACTCTCATGAAAAAGGAATGATTACAACTCATAAGTTAAATAATCTGTGAATAATAATATGGTTGAATGAAGAAATGCTATATGAATACTGATGGAAAGTTTTGATTAATCTGTGCTTAAATTACTGTGGTTGAAATGAATTTTAATATTACAATGAAACTATTTGGTGTTATGAGTAATGTTTGATTTAACAAGTGAATCATTATCTACACTCAAATGCTCAAGATATAAGTTAAAGTTAACGTCACTGCACATAGATATTTTCTTACCCACAAATCAGAGCGTTGGTCACATATTGTAACCCCAGATTCTATGTCTAGTCGCAGCCCTTAAGCTAGCTGCTATTGGAAGGGTGATCTCAGCATCAGCCAATCATGAAGAGCTTACATGTACGCCCACCAATGGTGGGAACCCCTGTGGGTATATAAGTGGAGCGACTCCACTGTTCGCCTCCAATGGCTCTTGGTCTTAACAGAACCTGTGGGGCCATTGGCTTAAGGGCTGCGACTAAACTCATAGAATCTGGGGTTACAATACATAACCAATGTTCTATTTTGTCTAGTCTTAGCCCTTAAGCTAGCTGCTATTGGAATAATGCGCAGCTGGATGGGTTTACGGCACACTGGTTTGCTCAACCAAATGGACACACCCAACCTGTCTCCTATTAGCAACGGTCGCTCAGCCTCAGCCCAGGGCTTAAAAGGCTGAGGCAGCCAGAGAGAAGAGTGGGTTTCCCACTAAAAACATCATCCACAAGAGGATGAAATTAATGGTCCATCGATGTAATCACTGTCTCATATATGAGGGATGACAAGATAACAAGGAGCCAGGGTAACAAGAGGTCAATGGATTGAATGGGATCCGTCATAAGGGACAAAGGTAATGATTGTGCACATGACCGTCTGGATATGCATCATTGAAGTAGGGCTGATGTGGTGCCATATTGTTTTCACTCAGCCTGCTGAGGTCCAAGCACTGAACAAGTAATGGATCCTGAAGACACATCTCATAAATAATAACGAGTAAAGGAACATGGGGAAGCCCTTGTAGCAGCCGGACAAATGTCTTCCATCGACACACCACTGTGGAGCGCCATAGAAGAGGAAATCCCTCTGGCTGAGTGAGCCCTGAGTGTCTCAGGAGGATCCCACCCTGATGAAGTGTAAGCGAGTGAAATGGTGTCACATAGCCAGTGTGAAATCTAATTTCCCTCTGGGATTAATAAAGTATCTTTGATTTTGAATTGAATCTGAATTTTAAAGACGCTGGGTCGACAGCACTTGCCCAAGGGAAGAGTCTCTGTAGTGCACAAACAGGCTTTGTGAATGGCGAATCCCTGAAGTGCGTGACACATATCGTGCGAAAGCACGCACCGGGCAGAGAAGGTGGGAAACCGCTTCCTCGGCAGAATTATGGGGAGGAGGAAAAGGTCCAGCCAATGAAATTGACCTGGATTTGAAGGAAGTATCAATGTTTTTGGGCACAAAGGCTGGGTTGGAGCATAAAACAGCAGACCCGCCATCTTCCCGGATCCTGAGGCATGCGGGAGCCACTGAGAGTGCGGTTAGGTCACTCACTCCCTTGACTGATGCCAGTGCCAGCAGCAAGGCAGTTTTGAGTGACAGGAACTTGAGTGAGACCTGGTCCAAGGGCTCAAATGGGGCTTCAGACAAGCCGTGCAGAACCACCGTTAGGTCCCACTGGGGAAATAAAGGGCGGGACACAGGTCTGTTCCTCCTGACACCTTTTAGAAAATGTTTTGTGATGGGATGATTGAAAACAGATCTATCTCCAAAACCCTGGTGACAGGATGAGATAGCTGCAGCATATGTCTTAATAGTGCTGAATGCGAGACCTCTGTCCATCAGCATCTGCAGAAACAATAGGACATCCGCCAGCTGGCAGGAGAGCGCTTTAACATTCTACTCTGTGCACCATTTCTGGAAAGTTGCCCATTTAGCAGCATAAGATGCAACGGTAGAAGGCGCCCGCGCACTCTGAATCGTGGCGACCACATCATGCGGCAGCCCAGAAGCCTCTAAGCGTGCCCGGTCAGCGGCCAGACCCACAGCCATTGGCCTATTTCTGGAGGATGTATGATTATTTCATCCACCTGGAGAAGGGCGTCCGCCCTCCACGGGAGTATCCACAGGGAGCCGGACACCAGCGCTTGCAGGTCTGGAAACCATGACACGGACAAGCGTCTGGGCGCTACCAGAATTACTGAGAGCTGTTCCGACCGAACTCGGTCCAGGAGTCGGGGAATCAGTGGGACTGGTGGAATTGCATACAGGAGCATCTGTGGCCAGGGCTGGTGTGAGAAGGAGACCTCTCCGAGCGGGGGGTGGTCCCGGGGACTCAAGGAAAACCACAGGTGACACTGAGCGTTTTCGCGAGCCACGAACAGATTCACAGATGGTTCCCCGAACTTGATCCAGATCTGTGGTATCAGTGCGGGATGCAGACGCCAGTTGGAGTTGCGGGGTCCCCCTCTCGACAGGGTGTCTGCTGCCCCATTCAGGACCCCCGGAATGTAGGTGGCCTTGATGGACAGCAGGTGGACATGTGTCCAACACAGTAAATCTGCGGCTACTCGCAATAGTGGGAGGGATCGAACTCCCCCTTGGCGATGTATGTAGGCTGCCGCCACCTGGTTGTCTGTGTGAACTTCGACATGATGGCCCTCGAGAAGGGCAGCAAAGTGTCTGATCACATTCCTCACTGTCAGAAGCTCCAGCACATTTATGTGCTTGTGCGTGTGGGAGGGCCAGCAATCTGCCACTGTATGGGACAAGCACGTGCCCTCCCATCCCAACAGTGACGCATCCATAAAAACAGATACGTGTGACGTAGGATGTCCGATGGGGACCCCATGTGAGAGGATGCAGGGATTCCCCCAGTGAGTGAGGTCCCCGCCCACTGAAGGGAGAACCCTCAACATACGTCTCTTCTGACGTATCGGGTGTACCCGGAGGCAGATGAACCAACGCTGTAGGCGTCTCATGTGCAGTAAACCTAACAGCACCACAGCATGGGCTGCAGCCATCATGCAGTTTCATAACTAACAGGGCTCTCATGATCTTGCGGGGTTGCATGCGGGAGATCACCGTGGTGAGATCTGCCGCTCTCGCCGGAGATAAACGTGATCTCATTAGGGAGTCGTTCAGCTCCACCCCGAGAAACACAATCAACTGGGATGGAAGGATGGAGCTCTTTTCCCAGTTTATGGAAAACCCCAGGTTTGACAGATGCTCCATTAACTTCCTGGTTTGCTCTGACGCCTCGTCCTTGGACCGGGCGCATAGGAGCAGATCATCCAGGTAAAATAAAATCCTCATTCCCGCCA